AGTTCTGCCCACTAGACGTAATTACAAAATCGAAAAAATAAAATAATGTTTTTGTCCTGACGTTTTCTAGGAACCCTTCTGGAAAATCATAAGGCTTTATAACATTTTTTCCTGTTGATTTTTTATAAACAGAATATTAAAACAGCCTAAATTCTGCACATCCTGAAATTTTTAACTCGTTCTCATGGTTTCTGAGTGAGTTAAAGTATACCAGATCTACGAGTATCGAGTAGTGTTGAGTACGAGTATGTCGAGTAGGGCTTGGACTAGATGCATGCCTAATCTAAACGATGATATACTGCAAAAAACAGGAAAAAAGTAAACTTACTAAAATAAGAAAAAAAAGAAACAAAATATCTGGTATTTTGGCAAACATAAAGAATGCTATAGCTTCATTGATTATTTTTCTGGCTTTGATGATTTTCTTAATAGTGTAAAACTGGCTCTTGACAAAAGACAAAAATCGAGCAAAGTATATGAAATTGATGAGGATCTTGTGAGTAAAGCCTAAATTAATTTGTTACTTACATATGAAGGTTACATTGCGTGCGTAAGAAAGTCTAAATTGAGAAACAGTAGAATATAATTTGTTGCTTATCGTATGATAAACGACAAATGTATACCTTTTTGAGAATAAAGTTCAAGTTTCTAATCTTTTTAGTATAAATCCTTAAATTGAGCTATTTTTTTCCGTTGAATGTTTCGCATGAGGGGTGAAATAAACAGATATTACACATGTACACAATATATTCGAAAAAGAGATATACCAGATCTACTCGTAATAAAACTACAAGACGAGCGATGATCGAACGATCTTTTGCACCTCAAACAGAACATCGACGTTGCTCTAGATTTTTTAAACTCATCTGAGAAAAAAAAACTCAACCGATCATTCAAAAATAATTCAGCTAATAAATGCAATTATTTCTCACTAACGGGTCTGCAATATTGTCTGTTGCTGTCTCATTTAAAAGTTCTGAATTTGAAAATGTACGCTAACCTGCACAGAGGATGAACATACTTTATTGAACTTTTATCTATAGGCGATACTGTGTTATCACATGATATAATGAGACCACTAACTACCTACAGAGTTTTCGGTATACAAGAGAGTATTAGACTTTCTTAGTGTCAGAATATATCAATTTTAGCATTTGTGAATAGAACAATATACGAATTTTAGAATAAATTCTTATGCTCTAAAATTGTAAATTCGTGTATCTTAAGATTCTTAAATTCATATAGTGTAGTCATTAGAAAAGGTTTATAGGAATTAATGATGTTTCTTTTTTTTTGTTGTCCCATCTGAACTGCTTGTAATAATTAACGTATAAACAGCTTTTGTGATAGCATAATTACTATCTGCACACTAGACTACTGATATTCAAACTTCATCTGTCAAGAACAAAAAGGAGAGAGTACGTGTCTTTCTCTTAAAAATCGATTTCTTGAAGGTAAACTTAAGAAGTTTGGAGCTTTTCCTGTTAGACTTACTGTGCCAAACATCAGTTGAGTCTTAAAAATGCATATATAATCTTGTAGAGAATTAAATTGTCTATCGTTTGGTATAGCACGGAATTTTTTTTCTAAAACGATTTGTAAAGAAAACCTACAAGTTCGGTTTTTCTTTTTTTCTTCTTACCCTGTATTTTGCTATATACGTTACACTAGGTATCTGTCAGTGTAACCATTGGCTCTTATGGCGCCAATGACAGTGTTGCTATGGGTCCATAAGAATGAATTTTCTTAAAAATACTGAAATTTTTCGATGAAAAAAGGCTTCAACCAAATTTTCACTATCACCAGAATATATAACTTAGAAGCCATTGTACGTAAGCCACGAAGGACATTCTTCTATCGATATCCTGAAAACTTTTTCAAACAAGGTGGCTTTTGTAGACCAAACATTTTAATGAACTTTGGTGAAAGGCGCAAATCAAAAAGTTGTATCGTTGCTGAGATATTGAAATTTTACGAAAATTCCCAGCTCAAAACATGCGTTCATTATTTTGTAATAGATGGCACACTAAGAGCCCAATTCTAGAAAACCTTGAATTTTCCTATAGCACCCATTTGAAACGAAGTTGACCGTGAGACTTTCAAACACATTTCCAAATACATTATATGCCAAAGCATGTTTGGTAAAAGTTTGACGACCTCCCGTACTTTTGTTTTCAATACAGAGGATTTGAAAGTTGCAATTTTGTCCAAAAATGACCATTTTCGGCGATTTTAAGGAATAGTTTTCTCCCTGGAAACGGAATGAATCTGAAGCCCCCCAGTATACTGTTGAAGCACACCAGGTGTACTATCATAGTTCATGCTGCGATTTGTGGGTTTCGCTAAAATGGCTTCGGGGTCACCGAGTTTTAGAGGCTTGCTTCAATCAGTATATTTCTGCTATAGTACATTAAAACTTTATAAAAAGCAGTTTTATATGCAATTTCACACAAGGAATTCGATGCTAATACAACCACAAGTTAATTCTACTAGTAATGCGGTCCTCTGTGCGAGTTCCGCCGAGGGTAGCTCTAACAGGTTTCCTTGTGATGGATTTTCATATGTCGGTCAGTGGTTCTTGAATAACTCAAGAACGAAAGGTGATAGAAACTTGTGGTTTTTGCGATTCGATAGCCAAAACTTTAAGCTATCTTTTATATAACTAAAACAAACTTATAAGTATTTCTCAATTATCTGTTTTCTAGGAGATCTCTTGAAAACCGTTTCATAACTCTAAACGATAAAATAACAATATACTGGCTTTTTTATGCATAAATACCCTAAAGTGTCCTCTTCAAAGTGGGAGCTAAACGAGACTTTGATTATGAGTAATCTGGACGTGGTATCTGATTTCTATGGAGCCCCAGGACTGACACTTACGAGGGAACCTCTCGAGGTGACACCCTCCGTTTCTAATGAGTTATACCTCAATCGATAGAGTATATCGAGCTAATAAAAAGTCTAAAAGGATTCGGGTCCGTTACTTTTGAAGACCCAGTTTTCTGGAAAACCAGTTTTTCAGAAACTCTAAAAAATAACTAAAACCTTTTCTTAGTGAAACATAATTGTAGCCCGCACATTTCTGATTAAAATGAGACATCTCCCAGCTCTACACGACTTTTCTTTGCAAAGTTATAGAATTTACAAGAAAAGCCCTAAATTAATCTCTACAATTATGTTTCACTAAGAAAAGGTTTTGGTTATTTTTTAGAGTTTCATGAACAGGGTGTTCCCCTAGTGGCTCCTAGTCGAGTTTGCTGAGGGAACGAACGGTGGTTAAATTCACTCAAGTATAATTTACATAGATAAACTCAGTTTTTGATGCTGAATCTGAATAAAATAGTTTCAGAAAATTACGATCAGTGTAAACGGCAGAATTCCTGAACATTCTCAAAATTGATTAAATTTTCATTTTATGACCGATACTTGTGTTTTGGGGGCTAGTAAGTTACAAAGTAGCGTTCCTACATTCAAGATTTTTCGATTTCTCTTTAATTCTTTTGTTAGAAAAATCTCAGTGCGAAGCCGGCTTCCAGTCACTTCTCTTGAAAAATTTCGACATATAACGGCAATGCTCAAGGTCACTTATACTCATTTTCTGATTCGCCATACTTGATTATTCCTACCATGTCGTTTCATGCTTAGAACTGTAGTGCTTTGACGTCCTTACCTACGTATACTCGTTGTTGCCCATGAGTTAGTTTTTTTTCCGCAGTTCTCATTCTTCAAATGCGCATACGACAATCTTATAATGTTGTAAAACTAAAGCAATTTATTCATAATAGATTAACCAGAGCAACTAATGGTTTCACTCTGTCGCCTTTGCATACTTCCCATAGTGTAGTTGCCGTCTCTTTATAGTATTACCATTAAATTCCTTCCCGAAAATTACTTATATGCTAATGAAACTGCTTTGGTAAGAGTAGCAGAGGTTGACGAAGCTAACTCATCAGCACCTTGAAATTACGGGACTTTGTTAAGTTACTAGTAGTTGGTAATATTTTCGAAAAAAGGATTATGGATTTTGATCATTCTGTGAGGAAATGACTTCTGACCTATCTTCTTCTCATACATCGTTAATGGTTTCCTTTTTATCTAATTTGCTACGTATTCGTTCAGACAGCTCTAGGTTTAAGAAACAAGAACGACTTCCCAATCGATTGGATGGATACTCAATTACAGTTTGTAAGTCGAGAGTAGACGAGATGAGAGTATTGAATGACGTACCTTACTTTCTTTAAAAAAAGAAAGGCACGCAGCAGCACTTGTCATTTTAATCCATATTTCTAGTAACTGTTCTTCCAACGCAGATAGAAGTCCAAACAAGAGAGATCCGCCTTAGGGTCTTTCGTAAATTGAATGGTGTTTCATGATAAAGTGTCACAGAGAGCCCGAAAACATCTCATTTTTTTGAGAAATGTTTGCTAGATTGAACGAGAGGACATATTTTTCTGAGTTTGGGGTTTTCTAGAGTCTCTGGTTTCAGGAGTTTCGATAGAATCTTTATATACATCTCATCAGATTGGAAATTGTTCCAGCTGTACAAAGCTTTCTTCAAACTTGTGTCATCAATATTATTATCACTTTGATCTGATCCTAAAGCTCCAGCATTTTCGACTCATTCAATTTCTTCGAAACGGTGTATATCATAACTATGAAGAGGCGCTTCGCGAGATCATCTAGTATCCTGGCGTAGAGCATTCACGATCAAAAATTTGACCTATACTTTTCATTATATTTTCGGATTCTACGATCAAGACTGAGCTTATGAAAATCTGTTTGGCCACTCTGAACTTATTTTGGCCCAAGTCATACAACTTTCAAAAAGAGAACCACCGAAGATTTTTGAAAAAGTAATCCCTGATATATTTTGCCTATAACTGCGTCAGATTTAGTCCGTTCTATTCGAGCAATGTCTCACTGGAAAGCCTATTAAAAACTAAACACACTCACATACTTTTCAATTTTTTCGAATTGAAAATGGTACTCTAAAATGTCCATCAGGTGAAGGATTTGAGTCCATCACCACTATCTTTTTCCGTCCAGTGAGATATACAATTTTCTTTTGTTGGTAATTCACGCGCTATATTTTGTTGTTCAACAATTAAACTACATTCTTTATTATCCGTATCTTCCACTATTATTTTCAGTTTCAGCGGTTGTAGTAAACTTTTGTGTGCTCTTGCGCGTTGGATATTATCAATGCCTGGTTCACCGTTTATTTCAATATCTAACCAAACAGCAAAACCGATCAATTAGATTTGATATAGTTGTCGAAAATGGTTGGGTTCGGTTATTTTCTACAGCCAAACCCGCCTGCATGAACCTGGCAGACCATGTGATCGAAACCGTTTAATTTACTCAATTTCAGCTCCTATGTGTCATTATTAGACATTCACCGGTATATTTCCTTCTTTTTCTGAATCAGATTGACTGAAAATTACCAAATATCAAAATTTTTTGTCAATTTAGTT